GTTTGCTCTTCTGAGATTCCTCTTTTTCCAGTGCTTTTCGTACTTTTTTAAGCTGATGGATTTCTGTTTCAATAGGACGGGGAGGCGTGTGTTTGGGTGGGGTACGTTCTCGTCGACCAGCTTCCTGAAAGTCGCCTTTAAGTTGGCTTCTGCCATAATCTTGGTCAGGTCCTCGAAGCTGTTTACCGATCGATTAAGGAGAGCATCTTTGCCCTGTAGTCATCCCAAACGATGGTTTTGGCTTTTTGCTTCCGTTTCTTCAGTCCTGTTTGGAGGACTCTTATGGTTATCGGGTAACGGTCGCAGCCCCAGGTGTCGGTGCCTACTCGACACATGGTTTTGGTGCTCCGGGTTACCGTTAGCCCAGTGGGGCCTCGGACGAAGATCCTGATTAGTGCGAGGGTGGTCATTCACGTTGTGAGCCGTGTTGACAGGCACGCCTTCGACTTGACGTGCAGGTGATGGCATAATCCCACTAGCAGTTGCATTTATAGAGACACTACAGCCTTGTCCCTAGGCCGAAGACTTGGGGCGGGCACCTGTTTTTCGAACCAGTGCCGCATAGTGTTAATTTCAGCTTACTTAGCTTCGCTGACTAGTCAACGACTAGTTTCGAAAATGTAAACGTGCGAAATTTGTTTGCTAGATATTTCCTTTCACAATTCCGCAGCATCCAGCATGCTGAACCGTGTTTTGAAAATCCTTAGCTTCTACGTATCAGAAAATGATCTTGTAAAATTGTTCGAAAAATGTTATTATGAGACATATACTAACTCCTCTAAGTATCAACTTCTCGTGCTATTGTTTTCGTATTATTGTGTTTGTGACCCGTCGAACAACAGAAAAATTAATTTTGCTATCATCACCGTATCCATTTTTTTTTTCATTCATTTTTCTCGTGACTAAACTGGAATAGCCACCGCATGTCACTGTTGGCGCGACTGATACATCGCCATTTTTTTCTTTTTTTAGAATTCAAAGGTTGTCGAAAAGAGTACTAATGGAATAGGAAGTTCTCATTGGGGACCCTAACCTGAGCGTTAAAATTTTGTGCACGCCAATACACTTTCGAAGTAAGATGCGGAAACGTGCTAATGTCATGTTTACGCTAACGGGGTGACGCAATGTGCATCAGATATTATACGGCCCTCCTTGCGACGATTATTGTTTACCGCGGATATTACAGTAAACAGTATTAGTAGATCGTGTTTTTTCGATAGCCATACCGGCTGGGCAATAAAGTTTGGCTAGATTGGTCGCGCCATCTTATGAGCAATTTTCCCAATCTCCCTGGAAACGTTGTTTAATTACTTTTTATTAAGTATGTTTGCCATTCAAACGGAAGGATATAAAAACCGGTTCTCTTAACTAGAGCAATTCGTAAATGGAAATGGTAAAATATGGTTGCCTAAATGTGCTGTGTGAGATTGGTCATGAAGGCGAGCAGAGAGTCCAGGATCTGATTGTGGTGGTCGGGAAGTTTAAGGGGTAGGAATTTGATCACTTGGTGTAAGTTCGGGGGTCGTACTCGGGGTGGCAGGTCAACAAGATGGAGATTTCAAACGACCTAGAACTTTTAGCAGTCCAATGTTAAGTGCGTGCATGTGTCCGGCACTCGACATTGTGTGCACTGTGAACTTGGGTCCGTGCCCACTGGGGAGGTGGGTTTCTGGAGTTTGGCTATTCAAATTTGCAGGAGGGATGGCTAGTTATGTTTGTCACCTGCGAAGGTTGATCCGTTCGCAGACTCTTAATCCTCCTTTTTCTGCATCAGTGCTGCCCCATGGTTGCGTGATTTGGTTCAAGAGTATGTGGCTAGAAAAGAACGCGACTGCAAACTTCCCCAACGTACTCGACCACATTATCAAAGCATGAAATGCATTTTTACAGAATATTTGGTAAATATTTGGTCTGTCCGTCCGTCCGTCCGCCCGTCCGTCCGCCCATGCATTTGCCACTAGATTTCACGGCGACATTAACGTCACGTCACCACACCTACAATTTAATTTCCCCGCTAAATTTAGCGAAAACACTGACGTTACATAACGCGTAAAAAATGTTGTTTCCCTGCTAAATCTGGCGGGGGAATTTGTGTTGTGTTAGCAACACAAAGCAACATTAAGCATACACAAGCCATAGCAGACAATTCATTAGAATCTAAAGAGAAGGGATTTTTAGTCATAATTCGATATAATTAAATGTAAAAAAGCGAGCTCTCCCAAGCGGCTCAGTAGGCGTCGAACACCGGAATGTGCGATCCACAGCTCATTGCCTATACTCGACGCTATGAGAAGGGCCAAAAGAAAGCGCGCTGACAGCGGGAGCAAATACGACTCACGCGAGTCTGCGTGAACAAGCGACCGTCGGCACGCACAGCTGCAGCTCTCGAACGACGAGCTATAGCTCCACACGTGATCCTACGTCACGGGGCAGATCATACCGAACCAGCGGATAGCGCAGCAAGCTTATGATGTCACAACTTAGCATATACTGTCGAGACCGGTTATAAGGAAGTAAACGGGAATCGGAAATCACTTCGCTATATCCGCTATCTCGTTATAACGGACTTCGGTTATAACGAAGTGCAAAAGATAATGGGAAATCGTGATCGCTTCGCTTTAGCCGCTATTTCGTTATAACCGACTTCGGTTAACGAAGTGCAAAACGGAATGGGAAATGGTAATTGCTTTGCTGTAGCCGCTATTTCGTTATAACCGACTTGGGTTATAACGAAGTGCAAAAGGGAATGGGAAATTGTGATCGCTTCGCTGCAGCCGCTATTTCGTTAGTGCCGACTTCGGTTATTACGAAGTGCGACAAGGAATGGGAAATCGTGATCGCTTCGCTGTAGCCACTATTCCGTTATAACTGACTTCGGGTATAACGTAGTGCAAAAGGGAATGAGAAATTGTGATCGCTTCGGTGTAGCCGCTATTTCGTTATAGCCGACTTCGGTAATAACGAAGTGCAAAAGGGAATGGGAAATGGTAATTGCTTTGCTGTAGCCGCTATTTCGTTATAACCGACTTGGGTTATAACGAACTGCAAAAGGGAATGGCAAATCGTGATCACTTCGCTGTAGCCGCTATTTCGTTATTGCCGACTTCGGTGATTACGAAGTGTTAAAGGAAATGGGAAATCGTGATCGCTTCGCTGTAGCCACTTTTCCGTTATAACCGACTTCGGGTATAACGTAGTGCAAAAGGGAATTTGAAATTGTCATCGCTTCGCTGCAGCCGCTATTTCGTTATAGCCGACTTCGGTTGTAACGAAGTGCAAAAGGAAATAGGAAATCGTGATCGCTTCGCTGTAGCCGCTATTTTGTTATAACCGACTTCGGATAACGAAGTGCAAAAGGGAATGGGAAACGGTGATCGCTTTGCTGTAGCCGCTATTTCGTTATAACCGACTTCGGTTATAACGAAGTGGAAAAGGGAATGAAAAATCGTGATCGCTTCGCTGTAGCCGCTATTTCGTTATAACCGACTTCGGTTAACGAAGTGCAAAAGGGAATGGGAAATGGTAATCGCTTTGCTGTAGCCGCTATTTCGTTATAACCGACTTGGGTTATAACGAAGTGCAAAAGGGAATGGGAAATCGTGATCGCTCCGCTGTAGCCGCTGTTTCGTTATAACCGACTTCGGTTGTAACGAAATGCAAAAGAGAGTGGCAAATCGTGATCGCTTCGCTGTAGCCGCTATTTCGTTTTAACCGACTTCGGTTATAACAAAGTGCAAATGGAATGGGAAATCGTGATCGCTCCGCTTTAGCCACTATTTTGTTATAACCGACTTCGGCTATAACGAATTGCAAAAGAGAATGGGGAATCGTGATCGCTTCGCTGTAGCCGCTATTTCGTTATAACCGACTTCGGTTATAACGAAGTGCAAAAGAGTATGAGAAATCGTGATGGTTTCGCTGTAGCTGCTATTTCATTATAACCGACTTCAGCTATAACGAAGTGCAAAAGAGTATGAGAAATCGTGATGGTTTCGCTGTAGCCGCTATTTCGTTATAACCGACTTCGGTTATAACGAAGTGCAAAAGAGTATGAGAAATCGTGATGGTTTCGCTGTAGCCGCTATTTCGTTATAACCGACTTCGGTTATAACGAAGTGCAAAAGAGTATGAGAAATCGTGATGGTTTCGCTGTAGCCGCTATTTTGTTATAACCGACTTCGGCTATAACGAAGTGCAAAAGGAAAGGGGAAATCGTGATCGCTTCGCTGTAGCTGTTATTTCGTTACAATCGACTTCGGTTATAACAAAGTGCAAAAGCAAATAGGAAATCGTGATCGCTTCGCTGTAGCCGCTATTTCGTTTTAGCCGACTTCGTTATAGCCGACTTCGTTATAACTGGTCTCGACAGTAGATACATTAGCGGGTGCGTTAAACTCCTCCCCTTACGATTACTTTGGTCGTCACAAGAGGTTCCTCGCAATCCAAAAGCAATGACTACACGCACGCCCGGAAGGAGCGGAACCCAAATACTTTACTCGGAAAATATATTCTACTTTGCTCTTTCGCCTTATAGACAGCGCCCCGTCAGGGCCAAACCCTCCTCGAGCGGTTTCCCCTTCCAAGGGAACGTATGTCCATCGCGCAATCTGCGCTTTCTAAACCAACGGGTTTACCAGAATGAGGATAAGTCGAAATTTCTAATACTACCTGAAAGCAGCATCAAAAAGAGTCGAAAAGGCACTATTTAGTTTTAAGATGCTAATATATAATTTAAAAAAAAAGAAAATACTCCCAACATTGCGTAGAGTAAAATTCGGTGAAACGACGTCGGACTATTCATGAAACGGCCTTCGATGAAATGGTGTTTGGTAAAATGTCCCCTTCTATGCAATGGCGTTCAATGGAACGGCGTTCAATAAACTTTCCGATACCCGCCAAACGTAGAAAACAGGCAAACATAATATGTACGATACTTCTTAGCTTATATTTTACACTAGATATTATAATACATTCAAATTCAAAATGTCTCAAACGTATACCTGATTTTAGCCACCCATCCGGAGTAACCACTGTGCGGGTCGCCTCTGGGTTGTTATGGTAGGCTCTCATGCTTGTCGGGGACTTGGCCCAGAGTTCTCCAAGCTCCCCGGGTCCAACCACTCTTCCGGTGTCGATGTCCACAATCTGGTTTCGGTTAAAATCGGCGGTTAGCCCGTAAGATAGTTGGTGTTTGACTCCATTTACCCCTTACAGTGCGGTAGAAGGTACGCGCGCTCGTTGGACCGGCCATTCGTCTTTCTTTCACCGCGAGGTCACGCACACACAGACACATACACGCCCGCGCACACACACACATATACAAACACATACACATACGCCGATATCCACGCGTGAAAAACGAGCGGTCTTGTACGCGTTATGAAAAAAGTAATCGAATTAAAGTTCAAATTATTCTCACTTAAAAAGGTATGCAATTTAATTACGTGATTGATCGAGCGATAAGACACTGGCCGTTACTTGAAGAAAAAACCGTTACTTTCCCCGATAATTTGAGATTTTTAAAACGACCGATTTCTCTGCTGGCCTGAAAATGGGACTTTCGCACGCTCAATTGTTGGATTAGAATCACCGAATTACGATCTACTTATGCCACCAGTTTCGGTAAGCCGGGTTTCCCGTTGGAAGTTTCATTCGAGGAATCCTTGGTAGAAAAACTTGTGCAGACAAAGACGCGCCATTAAAAAAACAATGAAAGCCGTTTACAACTCCCTGTAACGCCGAATTAGAGCGCAGCTCTTGAGGGGGAGGAGGGAAGAATACTGAGGGGAAGGTATACCCCTCCTCCCTCCTCCTCACGTCCTCATCCTGTCTGCTACTCCTCCCTTCGAGCGGCGTCGCCGTCGCCTCACAAGGGTCACGTGACCTCACGGGGGTCTTGTGACGTTACCGGGGTCACGTGACCCCTATGAGGTCACGTAACGATGACGATGATGTCACGAGTGACGTCACTGTTGACGTCATCATCACTAGTGACGTCATCAGTGACAATGACGATGCGAATGCCGATGACGTCATCAGTGATGTCACTGATGACGTCATCAGTGGCGATGACGATGCGCATGCCGATGACGTCATCAGTGACGATGACGATGCCAATGACGTCATCAGTGACGTCACTGATGGTGTCATTAGTGACAATGCCGATGACCTGACTGATGACGTCATCAGTGACGATGGCAATGCCGATGACGTCACTGATGACGCCATCAGTGACGTTACTGACGCCGACGCCGCTCAAGCCGAAAACGGGCGCCTAAGAGCTGCGCTCTAAAACGAGGGTGGAAAACAAAAGTAACGTTTGCAAGCGATCTTAGTACTTCCAAAATAATCAGATTACTGTTGCGATTACTTTCGGACAAATATAATCGAACGCTTACAAAATTACTCCCAAAAGTAATTGACTACAAGTAATTTAATTATTTGTACAGGTGATAGAAGGGTGGGGGTTAATTAGATCGGCGAGCCATAGCCTACTTTATATTTAAAAGCCTGTCTATTCCTAGATAAAGCCATATAACGCCCGGCCGCCTGACAAAAAAAAAAGGCGAGGGGCGGCATTGATTGGTTACCGATAGGGTAGCAGAGAGCCGCTTGTGGGGTGACCCAGAGCCGTGTATGGGGACAGTTTGGCCAGTCTATGATCTCGCCGCCGGAAAGACCCTGTCCCGAGTGAGCCAATCAGCCCGCGGCGCTGAGCGAGAGGCGTGAGCGCATACGCGTGAACTCTCGGCTGCTCCCAGCTTAGCGGGGAGGGCCGCCATTTTCTTTCATTCGTCCGGCGGAATGCATGAGATCGACATCCAAATTTCGGTTCTTTCCTTTTATTTGGCAGGCTCTGGCAGGAAAATATTTAGTGTTATTCCTCGGTGGCTTAAAAAACTAACGAATTAAGTGCCTCCAATTTTGAACGTAAACATTGATTTCGGTGAAAAAGAAATAAGCCCGTAGCAGACGGCGCGTAGCCTCAACAGTGCTCCGCGCCGACAGCGTTGCAACAAAATGGCGGTCGTCTCCGTCTTTGCTCTCTTCTTTCTCTCTCGCTCCTTCGGCGCCCTCCTCCCTTTTCTTTATTTTTCTCCTCTCTGGCGCCCTCGTCGCCACCACCCACTGGCCGAACTCTCCGAATATACGGCTCTGGGGTTACCAGGGCAGAGCACCGCGCGGCGGCCTGGGCCTCTCCGCGAAACACATCTTCGTTTGGATGATTGCATTACCTCGGAAATCATAGTCCACTTCCAGGTGCAATCAGCCAAAACCTCCTAGAAGCTAAGGCCGCAGGGCTTTGAGTGGTGTCGTCACAATGGCCGAGGAAGAGAGGACACGTCGTGAAAAGGCACTTTCACTGGTTCTCTCTCCTGCGGCCGCGTCGTCTGCTCGCTCAGGTCACGTGGTTTGTTCTTTCCCATTTATCCGGCATTAATATATATTTTAAATGCGTAGCCTTGTATAATTTATTATATATATAATATAAACGTAATATACAACGCGCTACCAAGGTTGAAACTACCAAATTTATATTTATGATTATCCCCGAAACCGCGAGACCACACTGCAGTTCCGCAGCTCTTCACACTTTTCGAATGAACCGGCTCTGGCAGCGACATTTTCTTGGGCTCCGATTTTGGTAAATTCTCGTTATGTGTGAGCTGTTGACTCTCTGAAAAGGAACGCTGAGACGTTTCACAAAAGCAAGGAAAAAAAAAAATTCAGTCAATGTTGCAGGGAGCGCACACAAGCAAGAGATGGGTCGACGACGTAAGTCTCGTTCCACGCTCTGCCGCTGCTCGTGTGTGTCGTTCTTTTGTGTTTTCTTGATACTACGGCATTTGCGTGGATTCTCGGTCCTGCTACGGTGTAATCGACATGTGTGGCCACAAGTCAAGGATGGCACTGGTCAATTTTCGATAGATCTCTCTCCCTCGACACGGAGAAAGAGTTCTTTGAGTTCGTGTTAAATTTTTTCGTGACGGACATTGTGGGATGTAGGGATACGATCGACAGGTGACAAATAACTTATTTACGGGCTTTGTTGTTCATGTAGGACCCGAGTAGAGTGCTGCAGTCGATTCGTTTAGTCTCGTGATAGAATGGAATCTCGTTCTTCGTCGTTATCGGTGTGCAATAGCGTGGACATTTTGTAAATGTGCGTGATAACATTCAAGTTTACACTGGAATGTGAATAGCAAGTCTATGTGCGATTGTTGCAAGTGCGCTGTTTGTGCTGATGCGTTTATTTATACTGATGCTATTTTTTGCCCTTATTGCGTTCATACTACAATCCTAGCTATATTAATGTAATAGTATTATTGAATAATGCATAAATCATTTTTTGTTTAAAGGCAGCTTGAGCCTATAAAAAGAAGTGGGTTAGTTCATCGTAAATAGTAAGCTTGGTTCCTTTACCACACGTAAAAGCTAATATTTTTTTCCATTAAAGGGATACTACAACGAAGTTTCGGCGCTTATTTCTTGGTCTATTCGTGTTCAAGGGAGCAGTATGACATCAGACACACCAATCTCTTGATGAACAAGGCACAAAAAGAAATTTTAAAACGAATTAAACGATTAGCAAAGTGCACCTGGTGGTTGTTGCTAACGCCTCGTTTGTAATGCCCGTCTGGGAACCTTGACAGGTAGTGACGATAACTGTCTGACCTCCAGCCACCACGAGAGAAAAGAGGAAGGAGGAACTCGCCTCTCCCCGAGAATGTCTTTTTTGTGTCCAAGAAGTCGCTATTGTCCCTCTACAAGATTACAGAAGATTAACCCGTCACTCAAAATTCGTACAAAAGCAGCCGCTTCGGTGGCTGGAACAAGTAGGCCATCCTCTCCACGTCAGCCTCGGCCCAGCTTTGCGCGTCCCGAGAAAAACTACGTCATGATTCCGGGGGATGTGCATCTTTCGTTGTATCTTATAAGACACGCTTATTAGAATAAAAGCGCTTTGTTACGACGGTCGACCCACGCGTCTTGCCTCCGGTTCGGCGCTTCGACGCGCGCTCCCGATTGCCTTCCTTTGCGACGTCACGAGAAGAGCTCTACTGCCTTTGGCATCTAGGAGGTGTTGAATGAGCAGTCAGCGCTGCGAGACAAAGAGAAAGGAGGCTATGAAAAGAGGCTACCGGCGCACGGAGAAATGGGGGGGGGGGGGGGGGGGGGCGTATTAGGGGAGGGTAGTCCCACGACTCGCTCATTTCCCGAAATAAACAAAACAAAAAGGAGCGCGTCTGTGCTTCCGGATTCTACCACTGGGGCATTCTTTGGCGCTCCCTGACGGGTCCCCTACGCGCGCTCTTTTCTTTGATCTCCTTTAACCTTCACAGCTACAAGGCTACGGGCGAGTGCCTAGCTTCCACCGCACTACAAGCTTGGGCGAGAACAAAGTACATGCACTGGCAGGATGAGAACGGCAGTGCATTTACTTTTGACGCCCGGCCTCCAGCACGGGCTTGTTACCCTCCGCCGTGTTTTTTGGCTGCCTGTGCTCGCTGGAGATTGACGAGACGCCGAATTGTTATCAAAGTGTTCGCGCAAAAGGCGGCTCAACTGAAAAAAAAACCTCAAGTATTTATCCGTAGAAATCGCTCACCTTTATTTTCACGTCTGGGGCCGGAAAGCCGATCGTATTATATTCCATTGTTTCCCGTGGCAGCCAGGAGATCACGTTCGCGTATTCTGTGGTCCCATACATGCTCCTGAAGCTTTTCAGATCAAACGCCGACATTATAGTTTCTGCGGCCCTTTCCGTTACGCGGATGGCGATTACAACAACATGTTTTACGCTGGGAAGTCGAATTCCGCTTCGGTGCATATTCGCGGCGAGTTGATGTACGGCCATGCTGTCGGCAAAGAGCGTCGTAATCTGGAAAACAAGGTTACTCAAGTCAATACTCGAATCGATGAAGTCAAATACGAGGGATGTAGTACAACTTTCAGCCGCCCGTATTCCACCATTTCCAGAGGTATACTAATATACTACGAAGAACAGGGTATTTTCGGCACTTTCGGGCTCCATGCAGAAACTTATACTTTGTTTCACCTCAAGTCTAGACGCAGCCGACGCTACGAGCTGATGGGAGCAATCAGGCAGCGTCAAACAAGGCGCTATCATGATGTTCGTCATATTTCTGTGCGTGTTCTATGATCGCTCAAGCAATGAGTAACAGAAGAGGCCTAGTCTCTTGCTCTTTTGGCTGCAGGGCTTGATTGGTCCCTTATCTCGTAGAGTCGGCTGCGCCTAGACTTAAGCTGATACGACGTATGGGGACATTTTATTTAGACATCACGCACGGTATGTGAAGAGCTCGTTGAAACATTGGTGTTGCACACGGCCGTGGAGTTCTATTAAGGTAAACTGGCGACGTAAAAAGGGCTAGTGATTTGTAAGATGGCGACATAGGACGTGACAGCATATCAGGAAGGTTCGTTGTACTGCATTCTTTTTGTAAGTAGAGGCAATAATGTTTTATTATTATTCTATTCTAGCTGCTTGCCGCTTCCTACAAAACGTCAGTGGAAAATTTTAGTATGGCAGTGGCTGGTTGTTGCGTGTCAATACGCGAAAGCAAAGCGTACGCAAAACACCTCGTGTGAAACCGATTTAGTTGTTTATTTTGGCGAAGGTGATTCTTTTAGTTTTTTGTTTTTTTGGCCCGATCTTCTGAAATTTATCTTGGCGATATCACACACTGCCTGGTGATAGTTACAAAAATGCAGGGGGGAAGAAAATTGATTTACAAGGGCAAGGGAGGAAGCTACTGCCCGTTACGAAGGGTACATATATTAGCGTTTATCATGTCATCAATCCTTTTGTAAATAGCCGTTTTTTTCTTATTCAGTAAACCTTTTAAGTTGGTTATAAACCAATGGTAGGTTACTGGTACTTTGGTATAAATTTTAGAGACAGATTGAAAGCAAACGCTGCAGTCTAGATTTGAGTATAATCCAGTTGTCGTTAACCGTGTGCAGCGTGACGGTTGTGTTATACTGAGAAAAACATGAGTTTCATCTTATTTAATCCGTCCACATTCGTGCGAATGTTGTTATTAATCTGCTTTTGAGAGTTCCTGAAGCACTTCAAGGGCAAATGTGTTTACATGTACAATTACGTGATATCCAATAAGGTCAATAACATCATTTGAATTCGCAAGTTCAGCACCAAAAACAAAAAAAAATATAATACTACGTTATATCTAGTTGGAACTTTAATCCTTTATACTGGTTTGTTTGAAACAAAGACCCTCGTTGAGGGGACCAGGATGTATACAACTCAAAAATGGCTTAAGTTTCGCCTATCTGATTCCAAGAAAGTTTAAATTTCCAGCAACTATGATAATGCCATTGAAGTAAACACTTATCACTTTGCTCAGACAAGTGTAAATATTTTCAATGAAGTCACCGGGATTTATCCGAGGCAGGCGGTAACATATACCAATCAATCAGTGCGTGGCGGAAGTCCAACTCGACTCAAACCCATCTTATTTCTAGATACAAATCACACTTCACAAGGAATCTTAGAAACTCGATCATTTTCGAAAATATTTTAGTTCTTACATAAGGGTCAATCTGTGTTCTGGACATTGGATGTCCGCCACGTTTCGGTACCAAAATAATATCAGGTTCCCAAGGCGATGTAATCCACTCGAGTTTGTCCCCACTTCTGTAATTCCCTAGCCGGGCCTTTAAGTGGGAAGTAACTGAAATGGTATGAAATTAAAGTTTGCAACTAAAAATAATGGCGTTAGTGCATTTGTGGAAGGAGTTGTAGGCACATTTGTGAGTTCTGACAGGGTTAATCAGTAGGGCGCGCGCTCTCACGTTGTAGACGTTGCTATTAGATCACTGCAGTACTTTCATTAAATTACACACACATTTCATATCTGAAGCGCACTTTGCCACCAAGCCTATGTGTGATGTTTTGTTCTCGGAATTTGGATTACAACTACCACAGCTTTTGCCTTGAAAATTGCAACGTTGATTAGAAATCCTCATATTCTTTTAGAGATGACCGTGGTTGAAACCTAAAGGTATTCCTGAGGGCTTCATTGTTTGTCCTTAAACTCGCTAATTTTGCAGTGTCGGGGGGGGGGGGGGGGGGGATGGATGGGAGGAGGGGGGGTGACCTTGTGAATTCAAGAAGTGCTATTCTCAAGCGAAAACTCAAGTTTAAGTTCACGCTCATTGCCCTCAAGGACATCGTAAGAATGTATTACTTAAGTGTAAGCACAAAAAAGAGAAAGTCTAAAACACTGCTGCAATATACAAAAATAAAGTTCACAAATATACATAATCAATATTTAGGCAGGCGGAACAAAGTTAGACATAGTCATTGGTGGTTCTGGTAAGAGCAATATAACGAGTTAAAAAGATGAAAGAAATCACGGAAGTGGAGTTTAGCATTTCGAGGAAAATACAGATTCTTTAAAGGCAGTTTTAACATTTAGGGCAATGTTTGCACGTACGTATGAACTATTTTATACAGGCGAAAGAAAACTAGACCTTTGGATTGGTAGCACTTAATAAAGACTAATAAAAAAAAGCTCGTGCGCACCGATCATATTTTGACGCATTCGCTTCCGAACATTTGAAAGCACTTCATACTTGGAATTTCAAGTAGAAGTTTAACCAGATGGGCTACTGAGTTTCACCACGACTCTTTTCTTTATACATCATGGGTTACATTTCTGTCTTCGTTTTTAAGGAATGAACTTTCTGGAAGACAGACTGATAAGCATGCACTTTGTTTTAAGGATTGTTACAAAGTACAAATTATTTAACCTTAGCCGTTGACTTTTGTGCGTACCTAATTACCCGAGTGTCTTAATACTTTAGAAGGTTCGCGATCAATGAAGCATTCCTTTAATTTGCCTCCGCGTTAAATCGAGGCGGTTCATACAATGAAAACTACTTCACTATTGCAAGCTAAGCATTTATATCTTCATGATACCAGTACACCGACCTCGAGATTTTGTATTCCTACATGTCGCCGTGTGGGGTCTATTTTTGAGTTAGACTAAGAATGATAACAATAAAGACAGCAATATTTGCATCACTTAGTTAATTCCTCTCGTAATAATATACTAGATTACTTACATCAAACCTTAAAAAAAAGGTGGAGCGCTCTGCGGGGACAAAAGCAACTCTGTCGTTTGCAAGCGTCTTACGAAAGTGTTAGCATTTTTTTAGTGCACCTAGCTCTTTATTTAATTATGACTAATTTGCTAACATTTTAATTTTTCGCAGAAGGGCCGAGGTGTAAATAGGAAAGTTGTGGAGCGCGTTAAAAACACCCAATTAAAGTGGTTGCAACATAATACGCTTTAAGCGATTCTTTTTTTAGCCTGAAAAAAGGCCTGCGAAATGTAAAGAAAAAAAAGATCACGTGAAAACGCCGCATCGTGATTGCAGCACTTTCCGACGCGCTCTGAAGGAACGAAATCGACTTTAACACTTTCCAAGACAGGGCTTCCTGTGGGTGTAGGCCCCGAAGTTAGGCGCGAGCACCTCCAGTCGTAAAGCGCTGTATCGGACAGCGCGACAGTAATAAGATGGTCTTCGTTCCTTTAGAGCACGCCTAAAGGTCCATTCACGCACTTGCCATCGAGTACGACCGAGTGGGACAATACCGGTTTTTAAACCTCTTGCGACGTCGTAAGACAAGATGCACTGCTGCGGAGCAGGTCCTAAGCCGTCGCAAGAGGCTTAAAAACCGGTCTCGCCTCAGCCGGTCCTACTCGGTTGCAAGTTCGTGAACGAGCCTTCACAGCGGTGCAAACGCGATGTGAGTGCGCGTTGTCAGGTGTTTTCTTTTTTTTTTCCATTTTATGCGAGCTTACTTTTTAGGGTAAAGAAAAGGAGCCTACAACTCGTAATATGTAGCAAACATCTTAAGTAGTTGTTTGTTAATACTCTCTGCAATGTTCTGATTCACGACTCGTCCCTTAAACGAATAATTAAAAATTAGCTAATTAGTTTGAATCACTCAAAAAACTAGGCCCACTAAAAGAAGTCGCGAACTTTCGAAAGACGCTAAGTAACATACAGTTGATTTCACTCCCCGCAGTGTGCTCCGTTTATTTTTAAAGTTTGGTTAAGTTATCTGGTGCACCCTGTGAATAAACAGGTTTCAGAAAAAAAATAGCATTCCGGTAATAAAACGTTTTTTTGGCAAATGTGTTTCTTTTTAATGAAACCTATCGGATTACCTGACATCTGCAAACAGTGTTCACCATTTCCTGAAAACTTGTTCCCTCGGAGATATTTACGCACGTGGCCCCGGAACAGACAACTCTGAGCAGCATTCGGAAGCCAACGGGCATTGCGCACGAGAACACTGCTCCAACAGTTTCCGCCTGGTCAAACATCATGTTGAGTCTAAATGAAATCAGAGAAATGATATTATGTGCTTTGTTATGCCGCCTTAAACCGTATTTGGCTTGTTGTGGCGAGCTCAAGTACGCAAGATGTGAAATGAAAAAAAAAAAAAAAACAAATTAAGACCATAGTAGCCCGTGTCTAATATAGCAAATGGGAGGACATTTTTAACATTGTTTCAATAGGAGCGACCTACTTAACTTGAACTTTCGTGATTTGTATTTATTCGCCAATACTATTCGTTTTACTCAACTGTTTTGCCGGACATAAAAGGATACTTGACAAATATCTAGCCACCAAGATAATACTAGGTCAAGAAGTTTTATACTTCTATATGTGTGAATGTCGTTTGTTTTTTGCGTTTTATTTAGTGTGCAATAACGGTTCATCGTCCCATGTTGCCCCCAAAAAATTTTGTACCCCACGGACATCCTACGCGCACTTCGTTCCTGGATACATGCCACC